TGGGTATATTTCTATGGGTCATATTTTGTTTAAACATAATATTTTCAAAACTGCCTGATACTTCTCAAAATTCTAACTTTGCCCATAATATCAAGTTGTGATATAATGAGATCTCATTTTATTGGCTATATAATAATACTTTATATCAGGAAGTCCTAATTTTTTTGAGTCTATACCTTCTTTTTTTAATTAGTCCTCACTTTTCTATCACCAACACAAAATTTATTGTCTCCCAATATAATGATGTACATTCAGATGAGTTCCCTTGCTGCTGAAAATAATCCCTTTTAATTTGTAATTTAAATAAGAGTAGTCAGCGCTAATGCCTCAGTTGTCTGGTTTTCCTTGGTATCCATTTGGTGTCTATGGAACCAGAATGCCAGACTATGTTTGATCCAATCATGACCCACATGTCACTTCATATGACCTTCCCATGACTGCCTGATGCCACAAATGTACTCTTGCTATTATTTTCATCTATTTTCTACCTGAAGCAATTAAACAGCCCAAATTCCCGATACTGAATTCCACAAATATTGTATTTACCTTGGCCTCCTCATAACACTGGTTTATATAAAGGGTGATGTGGTACTATTCTCTAACAATATTCTTAAAAACTATTTGAAGAGGGGGGAAATGTAAAAAAGACTCACTTCATATGACTTCCAATCTTAAACATCAGCTCTGTTTCCTTGATAGCTGAAATCCAAATGCATGTGAATATCCCGGAGTAATTGTTTGCTGTACATTTGAAGTAGATCTTGCTTTCTTTATAAAACAAAAAGGTACACACTTTTACAGACTAACCCAGTTTGACAGTCATAGCAAAAAAAGCAAGTTTTAGAGCACAAGGGAGGTTAAATATGATAAAGTGGTGCCTCGCTTAATGAGCGCCCCGTTTAACGACGAATCCGCATAGCAATTTCTTTTTTGCGATCGCAAAAGCGATTGCATTGCGATCTTTTTAATGGCAAAAAATCGCTTTGTGATAATCGGTAAAATGTTTCGCTTACCGATTTTGGCATAGCGATGTTTTAAAAACAGCTGATCAGCGGTTTCAAAATGGCAGCCAGAAAAAAATGGCCACCCAATGTGTTTTCGCGCCCATTCCTCGCTTACCGGGCAGCGAAAATGGTGGCCATATGGAGGATTTTCACTTAAAGGTGAGTTTTTGCCCATAGGAACGCATTAAATGGGTTTTAATGCATTCCTATGGGCTTTTTTATTTCGCATAGCAACGAATTCGGATAGCGACGATTTTTCTGGAACGGATTATCATCACTATGCGGGGCACCACTGTATATAGATTGAAAATTTCCATGTAGAACTAAAGCATAAAGATGCATAAATATACTATGGATGTATCATGTAAATATGAAAAGTGGATTGAGGAAGTATCCTAAAACATACACTAAGTGGAGTGAGAGCAAAATACTAGGCATGGAAAGAAGACATATCTGGCTGTAAGTTAATCAGCCCAACCAGACTTTACCGTGCAGTATAGGAGCTTTCAAGTTACACAGAACTTGAAGAGCAAATATTTAAGAAAAATTGTGAAGACGGGATATGAATGTTTCCGAGTAAAGTCAGCATCTCTTAGCAGGAAAGGGTTTCAAGATGACAAGAAAGAAGTGCCTCAAGACATGCAATGTTGTACATTCAAAATCCTGAATTCAGTCAGAGTTACTGCAAAGTAAGTGTGTAATAGCATTTTAGTCTTTCTTAGATAAGATTTTGATGTGTTAGCATCTCAGATGAAACAAAACCAAAATTCTTGTGCAAAATCGCCTTTTAATTTTATTTAAAAGTGACATTTTTGTGCAAATTGTGTTTTTGCCATTTGCATGAACAGCATGGATAATGGTTGTTGTGGGTTTTTCGGGCTTCTTGGCCGTGTTCTGAAGGTGGTTTAATTTTATAGTGACATTTTTGTGCAAATTGTGTTTTCACCATTTGCATGAACAGCATGGATAATATTTGTGTAATGAGACTATATTGCTCATGAGCCTACCTGGAAGACGTCTCAGAATTGGGTTAGCTATTTCCCCACTAGGATATATCTTTGTGAGGTATACAGTAGCGTTTGTTAAAAGCTCATGTGTGGTATTGCTCCAACAGAAATAGTTGCCAGCATCTGGAGGCTCCTGGACTGTGATCTGCAGAAGCATGGATAATATTTGTGTAATAAGACTATATTGCTCATGAGCCTACCTGGAAGACGTCTCAGAATTGGGTTAGCTATTTCCCCACTAGGATATATCTTTGTGAGGTATACAGTAGCGTTTGTTAAAAGCTCATGTGTGGTATTGCTCCAACAGAAATAGTTGCCAGCATCTGGAGGCTCCTGGACTGTGATCTGCAGGTGTTTGCCATTTCCTTGCCATTTCTGGTTTTTCGTCCAATATACAGAATCAGCCTCTTCCTGAGATATGTTGCAGATGAGGACCAACTTCTCAGGTGGCACAGTATCATCTGCAGACCAGTTTGACTCCACAAAGTGGACTAAATATTGCAACAAGTGAAAGAAAGAAAAAGGAATAAGGAATGAAAATTAGCCATGAGCCTTGCCCAGGTAAAAGGTTGAGCCTGCAGCCCAGTACAAATGTGAATATACATGAAAACTGCAATTAACTTATTTTAAAACTTGAAATGAATACAATGGGTGACATATTTCAAATGGAACTTAAAACAAAAGTAGCATAGGATGATATTTTTTAAACATCCACCATACTAAATCAGTGAAGACAAGGCAACTAAGTTAGAGAAATCTCATGACAAAGTCCATTTTAAAAAAATTCCTGCATCTGCAAACAACTCTCCCTGTTTCCTTGGTTCACAAGCCTCTAATCAAAATGTCAGTTTCACCCTCAGATGTGCATCTTTTTCATCCCCTTCTTTCCCTCTATGTGTGTGTGTGTGTTTGTCTGTTTCCATCAATAAGTGTTGGGCTGCAAGGAAATACTGTATCTGTTTTAATTTTTTTTCTGTCTCTTATTCTGTTCTGTCACTATACCAAATACAAGTATTTTAAAATTAGTAAAAATAATACCATAGCGACAGCTGCTAGTGGCTGTGAGAGGCAACCAGCCCAAGTGCAGCCTCAAATACAATTCTAAAAGCCCTTGTAGCTCCCTAAACTGATAAACAAAACAGCTTAAAAACAGATTTAAAGTTTTCCAAGAGGATGCATACACAACACAAAAAACTCGACATGACTGCCACATGACTTTAAATCAAATTCAAAAACCCCAACCCAGCTCCCAATTTATTTCATTCAACCACTCTTTTCATCAGTTGGTGGGAATTGTTTGTTCCTGTTACTCTGTTTGGCTGGTTGCTAGTAAAAAGATACACAGTACAGTATACACAAGTCTGCAATTTTGAGTAACTGTAAATAAAGAAGCCTTTTTAATTTTTTTGCTCCTACAAATGTCTCAGAGTGAATGATTGAAACTTAAAATGCCAATTAATGAGAAAGGGGTGGCCTCTGTGGAATTTGTAGCTATTCACCTCTGTGAATCTATGCAGTATACAAACAAATGTGAGCCCTTCAGTCAGAGTCAAACCTGCCTTGCCACCATTTTCATTTAAGAGTTGTGTAAATATAAGGCATGCTGTTACTCAAAAAAAGAACCATGCATGTTCATCAAGCAGAGAGTTGTATGAACTGATTTATCTTTCCACAAGCAGTCATGTTCTTAATGGGCTCATCACTTTTGGGAGATCACAGAGCGTTGCAGGTGAAAAGTCCTCTGTTCCTGTGCAGAACAGCAGCTGTGGTGGCTTAGATCCTGGCATATTATGGTCATGCATTTTCAACTTGCTACATCAGGATGTTGCTAAAAATAGATGACTTACCAGTCTCTGCTACTTCCTGTTTTATTTCTGAATGAATACCCAAGGCCAGTGAGGAAAGTAGGAGGAGCAATAAGCATGCCATCTGTGAAAGAAATAAACACTGAAGGTTCTTCAAACAAAAGGCAGAAGAGTAATGGGTTATCTGACTGCATGTGTCCATAGACCAGTTTAAGATGCTCGCTCATTTTTGTTCCATCAAGTTGGAACCAACTTTTAACTGTGACAACCATTATAGGGTTTTCAAGGTGAGTGAGATATTTAAGGAGCGCTTTTACCAGTTCCATTCCCACAGTGAAATGCCTAGGTGTGTCCTGAAAACTCATTACTTGAACAGATTCCACAGGCCTGAAATGAGTAGAACTGGCCAATGATCAAGATGTATTGGAAACATAATTCAAATTATTGAGAGGGTGCCATTTTGTCTACTCTTAGTTTGCTTTGGGAAAAGTACACTGAAGCACTATATAATATTTTTATACCATTATTTCTTAAAATTGCTACCTTTCTGTTGCCTAACATGGAATGATTCAGTGGGGCTGCTCTAGCTGTGATTTACTGCTAGATTTGGGCCAATGTAATACAAGAAATACAGATGTGTCTCCTCCCTGTTGCTACAGAGAAAGAGAGAGAAAGAGAGCATCTGTATAGGGAAGCTTCTGCTACGCTTGGAGTCTCTCCATGTAATCAGGACCCTTGATTTTTTTTTATGATCCCCAAGTACAAGAAGAAACTCCATGAGTAGCAGAAAATTTCCTCTTTAGATAACCCCTCTCCCCATTGAGATAACAACAGGCAGGATAATAATAAACCCTATACAGCTCCGGTAACAACATAATGGAAATACATATTCCTGGGATTTTTCCTTCAATAATTTAAATATTTTTCAGACTGCAGATAAATGGGACCATAGATACCAATCCCCCGGATATAGGGGTCCTAGTGTACTTTTATAGTTACATGCATGTGGCCTCACTAAATAGTGGAGGAGTAACATTAGATGGTTTAGGAGTTGGTTTGTGCTGTGGCTCATAGTCTTTATGTGTTTTGAGGCAGTGATGAGACAGACAGGAAGAAAGTGGGCCAGCACCAGTGGCTTATACGTAGCAGTCAGACATTAAAGTAATTATTTCATCTATTTTTGAGAAGAGGCAAAACAAAGAGTTACTTCTAAAAAATAGTTACCGTCGTGCTAACAAACTACTGTTGGAGCCTCTTAATTATTTTTAAGAATAACTTTCCAAGCTCTGGTTTGCCAAGAATCATATTGGGGCATTATTTATTTATTTCTGTAAAATATTTCTAACCTGCCTTTTTCTTTAAAAAGGACCCAAGGCGGCTTAGATAGTACTTCAGTTAGTAACAATTATACAGCACTAAAAGGATCAATGAATATAATCCCCCTAGTACTTTAGTTAGTAACAATTATACAACACTAAAAGGATCAATGAATATAATCCCCCCAAAACATAAGCAAGACCAGAACTCATTCAATGCATTAAGATACATCAATCTATTTTTTAAAAAAACCACTCAGCAGGCATTCACTCAGGTAGAAACATGTGATGCTATAGCTGATGCTACCTGAAGTACTTGCAAAGCAGACACATCAGTCATCCCTAACAATTTTATGCTACAGGTAGCAAATGATCTTCCTTTGGCTGTGAGTAAATTTTGTCACCAAAGAATATAACAAGCTATTCACCAACTAAATTGACAAGACTGGGTTGCAGCTCACCAATACAGTGGTGGATACTCTGGTTTCTCTTCGGATCGCATAAATTTTTGGCCTTTTACCAATACAGTGGTGGTAAAGAATAAAAGCTTCCCCCCCCACCTCCAACTAATTTAAGGTTTCCAATAGACATGAAGCTTTGTTTTAATAAGTTTACCTTAAGATTTATGTTTGTATCAGGTGTTAATCTATTCATGGGGAAGGCAATATATCGGCACTACCTAAAACCAGGCCACCATTAATATGGTTAATGTAAATCATCAGATCAAAGAGCTGATTTCAAGAATGTGTGAGGCTGTTCACCACTTGGGGACATCTATAATGCCCATGAAAGCCATGATATCTTGAGCCATGAGACCTAACTGCACTTTCTGGAAGAAAATGTTTCTTAAATACAAATGGATACAAAATAGAAATTAGTATAGTACTAAATATCTGGTCAGAGATTAAATGACATTAATACATCACAGAAATACTCAAACCTATTACCATTTTGCAGCTGAAGCAAATACTGTACTCCTGAATTTCTTTCATTTTACTCTAGCTGTCAGAGGAAGATAAGATGCCCGTTCCCTTGGAATTTGTTAATCCACTTAGATTTCGCTGCCAAATAAAAGCTGTGTTTCACTAGATAAGTCTGGCAACTGTTTATACCCTATACACCTCAAGGATTGAAGAATTTTATTTTGTTCTGTTTAGAACATTCAAAACAGTTCTGGTGCCTTTAAATCATAAACATCCTGAGACAAACTCAGCAACAATTTTTTTGGACACTGAGAAAAATGTATTCATTGTTTCAGATATTTCAGATATTGAATTGATTGATCATTGTTGTCAACCAATGTTTGTCTCATCAATGTAGTAATAATATTGCCCCCTTCATCTTGCAGCATTTTATATTGCTGGCATTACTTATTACTAACTAGAGGAGTGATCATATTATATCAGTGGTAGGGTACATGTTTTATATTCAAAAGTCTCAGGTTCAATCTGTCTTTCTAAATAGGACTAGAAAGACTTTTGCCAACAACTATGGGGAGTTGCGGCCAGTCAGTGTCAAACTAATAAACTAAGTGGACTGTCAGCCTGACTCTGTACAAGGCAACTTCCTGTGTCCTTTGAATGAAAAGCCATGGAATGGAATGAAAATGGAAGCCAGTCTTACCTTTTCAATGGCGGTTGGCCGCTGCTTGTGTTGGTGTCTCTTCTATGAGATGGGATCTATAAATGCTGCTGAGAGTAGCAATTGTGTATCTTATATATGCTTGATTTCTGAAACTCAAGAGATACTTGGTCTAACCACAGAGCCACAAAATTACAATGCAAGGAGTAACTTCCCCTTTTTACAAGCAATTAAGTTTTAAATGCCACTGGGCAAGAGTTTGGGAGTCCCAACTAATCTCTAAAGAGGAATTTGGATTATTTGATAGCCACTTTTGCTGTGTGGTGGGAATTTCCTTTCCTGCCTCATTTTCTTGCAGGCACACAACAACATGAGCACATAAAATGCAAAGGTGACCTCACTGGGAATCCAGAATATATTATGAATAAGACCAATGGAAAATACAGGAGCTATTACTTCACAATAGGTAGAAAGCTTTGTTCTGATTCATGATGCAGTTAAAAGGAAATATAGCACAAATCAACAATAGTAATTACTTTGAAAATACATGTTGCTGCAACATGAGATACATTACATGGCATCTATGACACTGTGGTGACAAATTTAGTTTGTGTGCATGTGCGTGTGTGTTTGTGTGTGTGCGTGTGCTCGTGCACCCATGCGTGTGTGTCCTGATTTCTGAAAGAGTAACAAGAATGACTTCCCACTTCAGGGGGCCATGGTTCTGCCTTTGATCCTGGATTGCAAGTTTGATGATACATTAAACACTCAGAGCAACACTGCTTTGTAGGCGAGATAAACTTCAAATTCCTGATTGCAGGTGCAATATGAATTAATAGAGAAAGGGGCATCACTGGGTTTCTGACACCTTCTCATCCTGTTCTTTAATGATAATGTAAGTAGTCTTGTGCCATCATCAATACTACTACTACAGCTACTAGTGGTGTTGGAGGAGACCTAATGGATATCACGGACCACTGGAAAGATAACTAAATAGATTCCAAACCAGATGAAGTCTCACTAGAAGCAAAAGTTACTAAATGGTGACTATCATGTTTTGGACATATCATGAGAAGGCAAGACTTGCTGTCAAAGGCAAAAGTTCTGGGGAAAATGAAGGCGAGGAGAGAAGAGAAAGCAAAGTGTGCTGCTTATATACTGCCATATAGTGCTCAAAGCTCTCTCTGGGTGGTTTATAATTTAATTATTCAGGCTATACCTTGCCCCCCCACCAGCAAGTTGGGTACTCAGTTTACTGACCTTAGAAGGATGGCTAAGATAACCTTGAGCCAGCTACTTGAGACTATTGGGTTAGAACGCAGGTTGTGAGCAGTCTTGGCTGCAGTACTGTATTTTACTGAGGTTCAGCCTTTAAAGTAAAGAGAAGAGAAGAGAGGAACCAATATGAGATAGATTGACTGAATAAGGAAAGCCACATAAAAAACAAAAACAAAATAAAATAAATCTCCTAAAGTCTTCAAAAAAAACAACAACCCAAAAATGAAAGTACCATATGAAAATATTCTCCCTGCCATAGGACATAAAAAGTAATTATAACTACTCTATTTATTATTATTATTAATGATTGCCTGCCCTCAAGTCAATTCAGAATCACGGTGACTCTTTTCATCATTTTCTAGGTGGAGAACGCACAGAAGTGGTTCACCATTCCCTTCTTCTTTGACTACCTTAGGACTGTGAAGCTTGCCCATAGCTATATTGGCTGGCTCTTCTCACAGTAGTTTCAGTGGGGAATCAGACTCCCAACCTCTGACACATCAGCCAGATACTAAAGTCACCATCCTGTCCAGCCAATTCTGTTCCATTACATAAATCTAAAAATGGCATTATGGCTAGTCTAATCAGAAAAGGTGTTTTTTTTTTCCAAACAGTTTTAATAACAAAGAGTTTGACAGCAAAGAATTATAACGTGAAGGATTTCTTTAAAGGATTTGCTTTTATTAAGCCGTCTTATTAGCAAACCTTTTGAGAGCAACTGTAAACCATATAGTGCTCCTTTCCTCAATGAATACAGTGGGGTCTTGACTTGAGAACTTAATCCGTATTGGAAGGCGGTTCTCAAGTCAAAAAGTCTGTAAGTCAAGTCTCCATTGACCTAGAGTGCATTGAAACCCGATTAATCCCGTAACAGGCCGTTTTTGTTCCATTTTGGTTTTTTTCTGGTCTGTAAGTCAAATCTCAGTCTGCAAGTCAAACCTAAATTTTG